CATTTGCATTACAGCAACACTTATATAAATATATCCAATATCGCCACGAAAGCGAATAAAAATTTCCCGACTAATATTAATGGGTTCCTTCCTAATATCCTTTTTAATTAGTAAAAAAAAAATATCTAAATAAATGATGTCCAAATTAAAAATAATTTCATAACCTAGAAGAAATTTCTTAGTATAAGATGACCTTCATTCTCGTATTGAATTTCCCTTCATTTAATTATCTTTTTAATCAAAAAATTACCAATCATTAATTATATTCCATTTTTAATTAATTTAGGATTTTTCTATATATACGCTCCTTTATTCTCTCATCCCCAATATAATAATTACAAAATTATTCATCATCCTACCAAATGAAAAACAATATCATCAATAATATATATTTACAGAAAGGAGGTAATGAATTGGCACTAAACATTTGTTCCAAATTGTTTGTCGTCATCAAAAAAAATGTGAATAATACCCAATAAACAAATCAAATCGGTTATGATTCATCATTTAATCTGAGCGATAGGTAGTGAGACGATAACCCATGTTGGGCGAACGTTTCCTATCGGTCAATAAGATCTAAATGCCAGCCTTGTGGAATCTTATCCCGGCCATATGTCGTCAGTGTAGACCTGCAGGCTAGAAAGGTTTCCACGCACTTCGAATATTCAGTGAGGCTCATGTAAGTGGCCAACCATCAACACCTGGCTGATTGCCACCACCTGCCAATGGACCACATTTAGGACCGTGGCAGCGGCAGCACTCTCTGGACCTCGATTTCTGAACAATACGCCACATTAGATGGCAACTGGCCAGGCCCACCACGACGATGCGCACAAGCACCGTCCCGGTCTCTTTGACAGTGGTCAGATTCAGCCTCTGCCGAGGGAAGAAAACTGAAAGCTTGGAAGATTCAACCTGCCCTTTGCCAGAAAACGAGTTCGCTCCACAGCCTATCACAGGAACAGCTTTCCTCAGGAAAAAGAAACCTGCCACTGGAACTCATCAACGACGATTCTTCAAACAGCGAAGTCCAGCGTCATGGCGAATCACAACACGCAACATACGCGTACATCGGAACGGCGAAGACAAGCTGCAGAATGTGAAAACTTTTCTTGGGGCTTGCTTGACGCAACATTTTCCGTTGGGAATCCGTCCTTGTGGTCATGCCTAAGGCGCGCGCAGCCAAAGTGTCAGGAACCCGGCAAAGCCTGCACAGTATGCAATGCACTTTCTGTTTCATCTGCTCGATCTAGATTACAGAAGCAACTTGAGGGGGCCACTTCATTTACAAGCACACTTGAAGCGAACAAACAGTGAACAAACCCCACACTTTGCCGAGCGCAGCACCGATGAGGAAAAGCCCGAGGAGTTGAAGCGACACTGGTGAACCCAGCGCCTTGGAACTGTGGGTTTGGGCCTTTGGGCTCCGAAGTCTGGCTTCGAGCTTCAGAGTTCTTGCTTCTCGCGTAAACGAACAAAGCACTTGGGGGTATAGCTCTTCCAGCAATTTCGTGCTAAAACTCGCACTGGCACAGTCTTTGGATCAGGTTCGTGGGTTCAAGTCCGACCTGCGGTGATTCTCTGCCATGCCTCACACTGTGCAGAGGAAGATGTGCGACTGTTGTGTAAACGCTCGTGGAGAAGAGCGTCTGTACATCAGCTGAGGATCTCACTCTGTTAGGCGCGAACTCCCCTGCAGAAAGCGTCAAAGCGCCTGGTGACCCGAGTTCATCAGAGCTCTTCCTCTGGAAATTTCTGGCACGCAAAGATTTCGAGCAGAAGATTTCCAGTGCACCATAAACACTGTCAGGGAGACTGACGGTATATCGCTATCACTTGCCGATGGAGGCTGACCTTCTACTCTGCTTGTGCCCATGACCGACGATGCCATTGCGGCCGCACTTGACAGCACTTGACTTAGGTGCTCTGACATCGCTTTGCGTATTTCGGGAATTTCTGCATGCGGTACTACCTGCTGGGACACAACTTTCACGGCATTAGCCAACCCCAGGTATGGGAAGCTTGTCTTGGGAGAATGCTCTGCTCTGCCGGCTGAACTTCTGTTTTAAGCATTTTTAAGCGGCCTCAGCTTGTTCGAGCAAGTTCAAGTCGAGCAACGCAGGTGATGGGACTGTCCAGCTTCAGCTTGCGATCACGGCGCGGCAGTCACTGTTGTCTCATCGCATTGCAACGCGCTTGATCACGCGTCGTGCATTCTGGTTCCCGCCGGCCCCGAGCTGCTCCGCGGTCAACCGACAAAGACTCAACATTGCTGATTCTACTTACTACTTAATTGGCAAGATCTCCGTCGCAACACAGACCCGGGTGTAGACCATGTAGTAGATCCCGATGCCACAAACGTGACCGCGACCAAGTCGGCGTGTTAAGATGGTCGGCTGCAGTTCTGTAGCCGCACAGCACGCAACTCTGTGTACCGATCTCTGCAAGGAGCCGAAACACCATGCAGCACCTCATCCTCGTCGTCATCTTTGCGCGCAGGGACGCACACTGCATCATCTCGTTCACCATCGAGTAGCTAGCTCGTGATGTTTGTGGGACCACTTGCTGCACTTGCTGAAGCAAGCACGGGGCCGCCAGGCTGTTGATGCTCTCACACCAGCTTGGTCTGGCTCGAGATGGCTCGAGGTTGCGTAAGTCCCAAGCTTAGTTGTTCGGCGAGACCTGCAAAAGTCACACGCCCAATGTGTTGAAGACCGGTGCAGCCATCCTTTTCAGCCATGAGATCGTCTCCTCCTCTGCAGAATGCTTGATGTCCTGACCGACAGCTCCGCTTAAGTGATTCTTGAATGCACTCGTTACACCAGTTGGCGCAATAGCGATTCGACACACCCTTGACGACCTGTTTTCATCGAGCCTGTCAGTGGGGACTCTAGTGATCTTCAGATGGCTCAGATATCTTGAGACAGGACATGGCCTGACTACTCAAAACTCGGGAGACAAAGTGGTCCAAACCGATCGGCTTAAGTAGATCGAACATAGTTTGTTGGCGGATATATGGGTTGTTTCCCGACAATGTACATAGAATATGCCTGGCTTCCCGACCCCATAGATAGAATATGGTTGTGTGCATGTAAGCCTTTTGGGTGAGAAAGGGGCTTTAACGATAAACCTACGTCCGTATTTACGGGAGGCACGTTCGCGCAGAGGCTTCAGGACTCATGGGGGTCGCTTTGCTCCGCAGCCGCTGCAATGCCCACAGCCTGAACCCCAATATTCTACCCAGGGGGTCTGTTCCGTCGTGTGGCCGCCGCATCTTGGGGGCGAACTCCGCATAAGCCCCAAAAGATTTTACCAGCACCCTTAAGTTTGATTTAACTTTTTCTGGGCGCCACGACCACCCAAATGGAAGGGAGTCGGGTTCTATTGTGTGGCTGCCTAGCTAGGGGAACCCACATTAGCCCCAAAATGACAGATTTTACCAAAAAAAACTCCTAGCAAACTAATCGCGGATCAAATGTTTGCCACATTAGCTACGCCGTGGTAGCCTTCGGGTCTGAGGCTTGCCTACAACGATCTTGCAACTTCGCACCCCCGAGCCACCTGGGCCTCCGTACCCCTCAGCGACCCCTAGTAGGCGCTCCTAGCACTCTTCCAGGACTCTCCCAGTGTGGGCCGTGTCATTTGGCCAAAGTGTTTTTGGCATCCCGCATCTCATAAAAAACATTGCATACAGCGTGTAAGGTCGCACGGAAGAGCAAAGGAAGCATACTGGAAGCTCCCTGTGTCTCGCCTTGCAAACACGAGGGAACGGAAGGAGGCGAAAACTGGAGATGGCGACACGCAAGACAGAAGCACAGAGAACCGAGCCCCTCGTGCAATATGTGTGTCGAGCATGGCTTGGGTTTGCGCGACAGGTGACAGTCTCACTCCAAAGAAAGCATGGAGTAGTCAACAATAGTCAAGACAAGTGCTCCTGTCCGAAGTTGCCCCAGGCTGGGTGGATGCCAAAGGATTCCCGAACAAAGCAAAGGTTGGATCGCCTGAGAGACGCACAAGCATGGCCCGAGTCTTAGTCACATGATGTCACATGTAATGCTGCCATGTACTGCTTGCCTTCTGTGAAGCCAAGCTACTGCTCATGCCGCAGGACATTCATTGTCACCTCGTCAGTACGAAAGCAGCACTTGCTGTGCTGGATGACCTGCAACCAAACGCACACACTCTGCAGTCAGGCGTGGAAGTGTTGTATAAGGATCGCTCATGTTGAGTGCCTGCCTCACGGTACTTGTCCGTGCGGATCAAGAAGACGTTGTTGGCAAAATACGGGTAGCTGAATCTGTCGTCGACAATCAGCTGCTGCGAGTCAAAGAAATCTGCAAACCAGTACAAGGGGAGCTCCTTTGGACACGTAATACACAAGCTGCTCTCCATAAAAAGTCATGGAAAGTCGTGACGATGAGCAGTACAACGGCTCCTTCAAGCCCTTCTCAAGGGCCTGGAGCATGCAGGTCTGATTCATGGCCACCGGGTGGTTCTTCCACCTTCTTGCGAAGCTGCTGGCTCACGCACTCCGTGCACCCGCTCTCTTGATGAGACTACTGATCATTGTGACAACACGAACCGCTCTGCCTTCTTACAAGTATCAACACCCGTAATGGCATGTCATAGCGACGAGGCACCAGCGCATTTCGAACTGTTCTGATAGCGTTCGGTACCACTCCATTTCATTCCAAGGGTCCTTGCTGATGCCACGATGATGCTGAAAAAACACTGCACTAACACGACCTGCTGTAGCAGGATCCTCTAGCACAGGTTTGCCCTCGATGCCTCAACTGCCTCAACTGCCCTTGAAGATTTAGCCCCTGCCAGATTTAGCTTTGACGCAAAGGGCAAACGATGGCTAACGTGCATCGTCACATGGGGCGCCATGCAGCAAGTACGACGTCGTGCAGACTGGGCAGAGTCCAGCTATCACCTTCCTTTCACTGAGCACCCAGAATGGTGGGCTGAAAGACGTGCAACTTGCGGGTCAGGATCCGGTACTTCAACGAACGATGTGCTTTGGCGGGACCCGTTTGGCCGGCACAAGGTCATCAGACTTCCTGAGTTGCAGCACGTCCCGTTTAACGCAGGGAAGCTTGGGCCCAGGAATTGAAATTCGGGTTTCACCACCAAAGAGAGATGCAGATGGATGACAAAGGCCCACTTCAAGGCGGTTCATACCTGGGGATTATACTGGGACTACGTACAGGAATGGACTTCAGGATTCCGAAAGTGTTTAGGGATGCACCACCGTTTCGGACCCAGGTGAAGAACTGAATCAGAGCCAGCATCCATTTTCATTGCAAAAGTGCCCCGAGCAGTCAGAGAAGCATCTGAAGAGCCTCACCGTTCAGTCAGCCGGGAAAAGCAAGAAGACTCAGAGACTGTCCACAAGACTTTCTTGGAAGCAACACGAAGCCTCATCCTGTCCTCAAGCTGCATCCACATGGTGGCAAATAGTTCGGTAGCCGGGATGCCATTCCTCGGGCACATGTTCTTCAAGCTTGACACTTTGCTTTCTACAGCTCTACTTACTGTACTGTGTGTCGTCCCAGCATCTGCGTTAGTGGCAGCGCGGCAAAACAGTTGGCCTCGTCTGCTCTCTGCCCAATGCTTAACCTGGCTGCATGAGGCAGCGAATTGGCGATGAGGAAAGGTCAGTGGGCTTCAAGCTCTCGAACTGCTGCCGAGCAACATGGACATCAAAGCAAATGGTGGCAGGATCACGTCATCATCCACTGAGAGGATCCACCTGGCTCTGGGGTGTGCAACAGCCGACGGACGCAAACTTCACACGCGTCTCGTTCTGGAATCTGGTTCTACATCTGTTCCCGTACCCCTGACCTGTAACGCTGGTGCTCCGCAATGGCGATCATCGCAAACACCTACGCTTTGACTGCGCTTCGCTCAACACAACATCAGCAGGCCAGCGCATGTCAGAGCACCGTAGTTTTGGCAAATAACATATAGGAGCAGAATAGAATGATAGGAGCCCATCGTGGCAGAGTTCCCTCATGTTCCCTCACCTTGTTGAAGTAGGTGTCCCATGGACGCCGTTCTGCCAGCCAAGGATTCAGAGCCGGGAAGCGGTTCCTGCAGCTGCTCAGCAGCTGTTGCCCAACCCCGACACGAGCCCAAACAAGAACCCTAAAATACCCTAAACGTCGCTGAAAACCGAAGCAAGAAGCTAAACAAAGGCCTATTGAACGTTTAGAGCGGGGGGCACTGCTCCGCACCAGTGGATGCCGCCGAGGGCGGGATAGCTACTGCCCAGGTGCCTGGACAAGGTGCTCAGAGTGCACAACCTCTTGTGTTCACAACTATGCCGCCACTCCTTCGCCAGAAGCTCGGCTGCCAATCATCCGGATAGTGGACCTTCGCTTCGCGGCTTCCACGCAGCTTGACCAAGTCCGACATGGTCCAAGTGCTTTTGCCAAAGGACCATCACATGCAGCCTGAAGTTCTGCAAGCGAGTCCAAACTCGCCGCACTGAGAGGGGCAGGAATCGCCACAATTTGCTCGTTGGAGATACCAACAGGAATAAACCCACCTGAGCAATTCTGGGGCATTCTTACGGTTCCAGCAACTCTTGGACATTCTTGGGGTGCTCAGGGCATGGTGGTAAGATCCCAACACAGATGTGTGGAAAACTCTGTGACAAGAAAAACCTGTTTACCGGAGCCAAACTCCTCCACATGTTGGGCTAGCACCCTGAACTCTAGCAACAAGATACCAGAGGCAAGGAGGATACAAAGATTAAGGCTGTCAAGAGGCCTCTGCGGTCGAGGTGCGGCCTGCCAGAAATGGTGCCAGCTCAAGGTCAAGAGCTAAGTCCTCGGCAGCACTCTTCTCTCCTACAATTCCCTTTATTTCCTTTGCTCTTGACACGAACAGCTGGCCGAGAATCCGGACGGTAGCCTCGGATGCAAGGATCTAGGTATGAAGCGCGACTGGGAAGTCGAGCAATGCCAGCTTAGATTAGGTCCACGGCAAGCCCAAACAGCAAGCAAAGGCCAGATAAGCTATACTGGAAAGAGTTGAGATCAGCTCATGATTACGAAACAGGAACTCTCTTCGTGTCCCCCCAACCCTCGGACAGAAAGAAAAAAAGGCAGACACATGTCACCAAGTTCAGCAAGACGGAGACAACGTGAAGATACGAGGACACGACAGAAGGACCCGACACGAGGACACGACACGAGGAGCCGACACGAAGACGAAGGCACGAAACAAAGACACGACACAAGAACACGACACAAAGACAGAACATGACAAAATGATGGGACACGAAGACACGACATGAAGATAGGACACGGAGAGACGAGAGACGACACGGGGACACGACACGAGGACATGACACGAAGAACGAGGACACGACACGAAGAGACGACACGAGCACACGACACGAGGACACGACAAGAAGACGAAGACACGAGGACATGACACGAAGAACGAGGACACGACACGAGGACACGATACGAAGACGAAGACACGAGGACACGACACGAAGACACGACACGAAGACATGACACGAAGAGACGACACGAGGACACGACAAGAAGACGAAGACACAAGGACACGACGCCATCGTTAAGCCATGAAAGTGAAAAATCGAGGGCACCCGTTTCGAAAGAAAACGGTGCGTTACTTATTCAGAACGGCACCCTGATCACTTCTTCACCTGGCGCTGCCACTGTAACCCCTGTCGAATTTGCGGTGTCCAGTTGTTTGGACCTGTCTGGGGTCGAGAATTGCTGCAAGGGAAACTTAGCTCTTGGGATCAGGCTGGACCTTCTGCATTTCGTTGTGCGTGCTGAGACGGCCAATGAAAGCTGGTCAACCAAAGATCGGAAGCCAGGACAGGAAAAATTCGCACACCAGGAGGCGGCTGATTCGGAACCGGGAACTTTCCAGACAATGTTAACCCCGCCCACCCCGCGACCCCAATCTTCTGATGCACAATTTCTGATTCGCCCTGGCTTCTGATGCGCAGTTCTGATGATCCCTGGTTCCATGCGTTCAGTTTCTGACTCGTTCTTTCTGATCTGCGCTGGTTTGCGGCTGGGCTATGACTCGTAGTTTTGACTCGCAGGCTGGCTTCTGACTCGTAGGCCTGTGGATGAGAAACTGACCAGCTACATTCCTGGATTTGCCGTAGGTCTTATGCACTTGAGACTGTGGCCACGAAAGCTTCACACGGGCCAGTTTGTTCTGATGCACGCAGTGGTGAGTGTGCTTACAAGGAACATCCGATGAGCGGCCAGAGTTCTGCGTCCAAGAACATGTGTAAGAAACCTGCTTTGAAAGGGAATTTCCTGGGCCTTGCCAAGAGGCTAGCGAGATTTCCATGCAAGTGTCCGGCAAGGTCCTTCACAGAGAGAACAATCGCACCACGTCCGCTCCGCATTCGCTGTTGCTGTGGGTTGGCGAACGATGGAAAGACTCCAGCCTCCCATCGAACGAAGGTCGAGTCTCCAGGAACCTCTTCTAGTTGAAGGAAATCTTTCCTTGGTCATGACTGCAAGCGTTGTACAGCATTGTTCGATGGCTCTTCCGTTTAAGAACTGGCAGCCCCAGTCTGGCATGCTCAACTTAGTCTTGCATGTTGGTTGCCACTCTCAGTTCAGGAACTTGGGGCAGGACCTTTGAGACCTGCTGGCCGCTTGAGATATGGCACAGGCTGCGTTTTCGGCTACTGAATTTCAAGTTGCACAAGGGCCTACTGTGGACACCGAAGTCTCGTTGAACGAGCATGTCGCATACGTCAACGGTCAGGACTCTGCTGCATTTACTTTGGAGTCAATGGAAGCTATGAAGAAAACCCAAGCCCCTAAACCCTCACTAGAACACTCCGAACACTGAACCTCAAACCATGAGACTGATGTCTCTCTAGACTTGTAGACATCCACTTCCAACACGCCTCAAGACTCTAAGCCGCAGGGAGGAGACCTGAAGTACAAGCCCACTGGCAGACAAGCTTCCCCGAGGTCAGCGTCACGAAACCCTCAGCAGTCAAGTCTAGGTGGAGATGAAGGCCTTCCCCGCCGATCGTTTGGAGCTTCTCAACCTCAAATACAATTCGCCATGCTTTGAAAAACGGCCTGACGAAGCCAGATGCAAGGTACACCCAGCAGCCCATCCAAGCAACCAATCTCTCTGCGGTTGTTTCCGTGGTGTTCCATGTTAATCGCCTTGGTTTCATCCACTCAGATGTTTTGTAGTCCGGGCCTTCTACCCGGAGCGTCAGTACCAAGTCAACCGCCCAAACAGACACACAGAGATACATCCTCATTCGGACGAGAGCAACATAAAGCACCTTGGCCAGTACGACTGGTCCAAGCGTCCAGAAATCACGAGCATCGTCCTTGTGAGAGTGCACAGGTAGGGACAGCAGGAAGTTCGAACTCCGCCATGATTGCGTCAGGAGAATAAAGACACCAAGCCGCATCAAGCCGCAGGGCTGCGGCATCGACACAAGTCGACTTCACAAAGGCACTGCACAACAACAAAGAAATGTATTGCGGAAAGTGCCGTTGGTGCCTTCCTTCCAGTGTCCTGTGCGCTGTCACCATTTCCCTTCGCCTTATCCATTATCAGCATGCTGCGATGTGGTGCAAAGTTTAGTAAAGATTGGCCATGATTTGCATAATGGGTCTGACTTCCATAGCCAACAAGGCTACTCAGCTACTCTTGGCACTGCTACGATGGTATAGCATGGAAGCATGGGGGTTACAGACTCAAGACAGGCATTCCGGCATTCCTGCTCTTTGAGGCCTCCCTCTGCCGCTGCATGCTGCTACGGTCGGGGTTGGGTCGATGGCAACACCCTTCTGCGTCGCCCGCCCCAGATAATGTACAAAGACATACGCAAGCTGGACCTCCAGCAGCTAAGGTTTTTTCTGCTGGTCAGGCCTGAAGAGCCTCCGGGCCCTGCCGCTGCTCAGAAAAACTTCCAAATTCTAAGGGCCAGGGCAAAAGCAAGCCAATCCTGCTTCTACTGTCAAACCATGTTGGTCTGGCGGAACGATTTTTTGCAAACCAGCCCTGCTACATCTCTCCACATCATGGGTTTCGGCCAGAGTTGGAATCCAGATGTCCCTGAGTTGTAGCTCGGGGCACTATGCTCCTACATCATGTGCATAAGGAGAATTAAGGAAGCCATCACACTCTTGGCTTGGCTTAATCTGGCGATTCTGTCCGGTGGATAGCTTGCCTTGGATCCAGTCCACATTCAGGGAGCTCAAATACTCCTTCAAATTTCGCTCCCGTGCAGTCTCGAGCGTGCAATAACGACAAACACCACATGTGGAATTGCGATTCAGGTGCCTAAGACTTGCCTAAAATCAATGGCCAGCAGTGTGGAATGAGCTTGCTTGAAGGGTCACATCACGTCGCATATGGGACACGCCGCCCCAGAATAAGTTGGCATCTTATCTAAAACCGATAGCTCTGCGACAGCGCTGAGCTCTGGTGAGGTTTGGCAAAGCCCAAATGCTCTCTGGGCCTTCCACGCTCAAATTCCTGGCTCAATGCTTCAAAGCTCCTTCGCTACACCATGCTATCTCATTCTGCAAGCTATGTGAGCTATTTGAATCTACACAAAATTAGCCCGTCCAAGCAAGTGCTGCTTGCATGTGAAACGCACGGCCTAGAACAAGCTGGCACTCGTCAGGTGTCGTGGGCCCGACAGTCCTGGGAGCCGTGTGGCCAGGCGGCTGCCGGCCCAGGAGCCTCAAGCTTAGGACACATGTCGAGCACCAGGATCTGTCAAAAGTGCGTTCAAGCTGACAATCGAGAACCTATAGGCTCTATCGGCCAGGTACCGTCCTCGACGTTCCGCAACCTGCACCCTGGCTCAGCACCCGGGCGAGCGGGGCTCTTCTTCCCGAAGCCGCGCTTCTGCAGCCAGTGCAAGGCAGCACTGCTCCAACATGGGTCCTCGGAACAGACATGTAGGCCCAAAACCCCCTGTATACTGCTGCACTTTTGGGAGTCTACCAGTAGGACCGAAGAGGAACACCTTCTCTGAGTTTGTCTGTCAAGTGCCATGCCTCAAACATCAGAACAGCTGTACCGCATGCGCCCACTATCTGGGGAATTGTGCCGCCAGCCACTCTTCCCTACGGCCGCGACAGTCATGTGCAAGTCATCCCGGATGGAGCTGAGTTCCAGTCCAACCCGAAGCCATGCTCCCCAAGGTTTCCACGAATGTACTCGTGGGTGATTCCCCTGCAGAACTGATGCTACGCCACGGCAGTCATGAGATGCGACAAGCAGATGATAAGCTCAACACAAAGGTCGAGTCACCTAATCATACCTGCCGATGTGCCTTTCATGGAACAGGAACTGCGAAGAGCGCATTCAATTGCAAAGCTGTGCATGGCACCTTTTGCGAAGCGCCTCGACGTATGGATCAGTGTGAACCTGCCGGAGCATCAAAACTGGCGGTCATGAGGGAGTGAACGGCTCTCCAGCTTGCCCCAACAATGCTAAGGTTCCCATCGATAGCACAGAGCTTCTGTAGTCTCTACAAGCCGACAAGCCCTAGGCAGCAAGATGGCAACAAGCCAAAGTCAGGATAATGAGCAAGTCATGATCACGTCTGACTTCATACATCGTTTGAACACTTGGGAAAGGGCGATAGGGTCAGAACACTTGGGATGGCATGGGCTCTTCACTCTACTGATCCAACCTTGGCAGGGCACACGGCATCGCCAGTAGAGCCCACGATGAAGCTTGGCCTTCTTGCGTCTCAGCCCCAAGGCTAAACTCATTTGGTTAAAGCGGCAATTTCTTCCTGGTCGTCCTTCTGTCGATGGCAGTTTCTGCCCCCCCCCCCCCCCCCCCCCCCCAAAGCGGCCTACTGCCTTTTGTTGCCAGACATCTCACGTTGGGTTCAATGCTGCGGTGTCCATCTCCTTGTCACTCTCTGTCTCCCAGGGGAACCATGACTCATGGGTTTGCCACACTCTCCCACTCAACTTTGCGATTTGATATCGTTTCAGGAAGCTTAAGGGCTGCGCATGGTTGAAAAGCTGGCTTCGACCAATCTTAAGAATTCACACCTTCAACAAAGGGATTTAGGCATACCGGGCATACTTGGGAGAAACGGACACGCTGCCCTTCGCTTCGAACTACTTCAGACATCTTCAGACAGCTTCATCATCTTCTGACCTTGATTGAGCTCACGTTGCAAACTTTACAATCTCGGACCAATGTGATTTGGCAAGCACAGGCCCTTCTCGTTCAGTCCATGAAGCAGCTAGCTATAACACGACGTGTAAGCAAGTGAGAAATAATGAGAGATGCAGGCTGTGGCGACCTGGCCAGGGCCTGATGAGCGAAAAACGCTGGGTAGTTCATGGGAGAGACTACAGAGAAGACAACGGTGACTAAAGAATGTATGCAACTCTTTGTTTTGCGCTTGACGTGGCTGTAGGGTGTTCCGAGAAACTCCTAATGCGTTCTCCCACAGTGCATCACACCGTGCTTTGCCACCCCACACACTTAAAGCTGTAGGGATCGGATGCCTGTGGCTTCTTGTACAGTATGTAGACTTATGCGCGGAAGGGGTAGGAAGAATTCTGAGGCAACAACTAATGTTGTGCTAGAAACTCAGAAGGCTGCTTGCGATCATGTCGCAAGGGCTACCTGACTGCCTGAAACTGCTTGGACCCACACGGCGCTGCAAATCCACGTCCTGCAGGCATAATCACTCCGATCACTAAATATCACTAAGCTCATCTCGTGATCATCGGGCAAACAAGCTCCATTCTTTTCCGGTTGCACAACCTACCCAGTACTAGCTGTGTCCCTATGGATATCGGTGGTGGGCCTGCAATTCTTGTACAACAGATCCAAAGAACTCTGCAACATGCCGGCCTTTGTTGAACCCAAGCGTGCTTTCAGTTTCATAGGTAACAATAATACTGCAAGGATGCTTGCCGCGCTTCTACCACAAGAACTTGCTGTTGGACCGCCTTGCATGCGCTGACGCCAACAAACCAGGACTGCGACCGGAGCGACAAGAGTCCTCTTCTCGATTATTCTCGATGTGGGGTTGGAGTGTATATGGCCAGGAAAACTTGCTGATCCACATACAGTTAGGGGTTCGAGATTACGGTTGCGCGAACTCCACCATCCAAAGCCCAAAGCGCTCGCCACAAGGTCCCTGTATCTGCGAAAACTCAACAAGAAGCGAGCACAAGACACAAATACCGGATAGGCGACGAAACAGCAGGGCAAGCATCAGACATGCTGCAGTAACGACAGACCGCGACTACTATGTGGCAGATGTTACCACAGTTCCGGTGGGAAACCGATGCCCTCATCCCACAAACGTTATCAGCATTCTGGCCCGGGTGTCATCCACGGATGTGAAGGTGAGACATCTTGCCCGGGTCGCGGCATGGGTGACCATGTGTTCGCTGCACTTTGCAGAGAAGGAAGTCGATATGGCATGTCCGACAGTGCTTGAACAAGCTGGAACTGATCCAGGCTGTGCCCAACATCATGACAGACGACACTATACCCATGGAAGCTTCTGCAAAAACAACACCAAGTCGTCTTCGCTCCTCCGACGAGAGCTTGCTGGCCTCGCAGAGATGCAGGCATTCACAATGGGCCCATCATATTCAAGGCTCTGGCACTGGTTCTATGCATGCATCCAATGCCAAAAGCAATGTTTGGCTCGTCTACACAGTCTACAGGACTCCCTCCCAGTTGGCTTCGCCTGTATCATGCAGAACGAGTCACACAAGGCAGATGAATGGAGACCCAACACAAAGGCATTGAGCAGGTTGCGCCTTCCAGCAGTGCATCGGCGTTCTTGTGGCAGGCCTCAGCTTCATGGAGCAAGCTAGGCAGAAGGGAGCAACCCGTTGATTTGCCTTCGTTCAACCGATTTTGCAGAGTGCGACGGTCGCATGTCGTGGGCGTCCAATAGCCGGACATCCGGCCGTTGCCTTTCACTGCTGTCAATAGTGCTGACAGAACACCTATTGCATTTGGACTGCCATCTGCATTGTCTGCACGCAAAAAGGCGACGGAAAAGATCAAGAACTCGAGTTCCACAGATCAAAAGCACGCTGTGGGGGATAGAACTGATAGAACACCCTTCGCATCCCTTCGCCATGATACGGCGGTGGAGCAAGGCTGTGGTCAGAGGGAGTTTCCGTGCGTGTTGGACCTTTAGAGTCTATCGCCAGGGCAACAGCACAAACAACGCCGCAACAAATTGTTCTTGAAATCGGCTGGATGTATAAAAAAAAGCTTGAGCGAATAACCAGCACAAAGCGTTCAGAAAACCGTGTGATGGCAGCATCGGGGCGTGGGTTCCACAAGCTGTTTGTAGAGGTTGTCGTAGCGAATCGAAGGCACTTGGTGAAAAAAAGGACGTGCAACATTCGCGCAACCAAACCTTGGCCCTCTCCCAGAAACCGGTGGAACTGCTTATGGCTTTTCAGGAGGCGAAGCTCGGGGCATGGGATTGAAATCCTTTGCGTTCATCGCCTTCATTCGCGGAAACCTCGATAAAATTTTGCACTTGTTCGGTTTAACACACAACCCAAAGAAAGCTGAGTGACAACCAAAGGTGTTTGCCACTTGTTTCATAACGAAGAAACGCAAAAACCTCAGCAAAGCAAGCGATGTCGGTGACGCTTGGAATATAAGACGCAGGAAGTGTGGGCAAACCGTGGTTCAACAAAGCAACAGAAACCTTGGAAAAACATGTGTTACAAGGGGATAGCCAAAGTCTGCTACTTTTTGCAAACGGCGCTTCAGCAGGAGAGCAGGGCGACGCAGACAGAACAGATTTGGGAACGTGAACGTCCGGGAAGTGCATGAAGCAAGCCTGCAGGTGCCCAACGTCATCCGGTTAAATTCGCTGTGAGGTCCGTGCAAGTTGATTCAGATGTAGTGTCGTATAGTGTCGTCATGTGCCGTTCCATTGTGTGTTCTACTTAGCAGTTTGTCTACGTATCGGGTTCGGAGCTTGTTTTGGTCCGCGGAAAAAGACAACACCAAGGACAAGGATATAGAGACCGACAGGTACCAAGATAGACTCGGGTTCTCTCTGCTATACATGAAAATGGCCCAATGCCCTCCAGGCCCCGTGCTGGGTCCCAGAACCCCGCATTGCCCGGCTTCCCCCAGCCGGAGCCTCAGAGAACACTTTACGTCACTTCCCTTCGATCTCCTTATCTCTCTTCTCCCTCTCTCGCCTGTGAACTACAGAAGCAGAAGCCGCCTTTTGCATGTTCGTATAGCCTTCTGCATGTTTACAGTGAGCAGCACTTTTTGCGGGTCCTTTGGGGTCGTTCAATGTCAATGTTCAACACGATCATCGATCGTACTCTCACGATACACGTGCGACTCCGCTTGGAAGAAGACCCTCTAATACCCTCTAAGCTGTTCGCCAACATGATCGCCTTCAATCAGAGACTTGGGTCGCAGCCATCAATGCAAGGATACACCAAAACCTGCTCGATGCAGCGACGACGACCATTGCCGGCTCTCTCAAAGACCGGTCTGTGGCTGTCATTGCGAGTGTCACTCATGCCTGCGCGTCAAGGGGCCCGCCGCTGGACCTTTCACTAACGCCAACTTGGCAACAGGCAGTACGAGTACGTCCGTCAGACACGCAGAGAAATGCACAGAGACATGAACAGTGATGTCTACGTGCCGGCGCGCCTGTCCTTCTTGGCCAGGCGCAAGTTGAGAGATGCTACCTGAGTTACGCATGTTTCCTATCGCCTTATTTGTCCCACATTTGCCCCACATGTGGCGCATTTGCCAAGCAGCCAAGTGCCCTCCTGCAGAGAATCCAACAGCGGCCACCTGGCGGATTCGTGATGTTTACGAGATCACTTCATGCCAACTGCAATTATCTGCAATTGCCAATTTGGCGGAGGCCACTGGTCCGTCTTTGTGCCGTCGAACCAGGGCCACTGCTGCCTTACTCCACATCTCACAACATGCCCAGATATGCCCAGTATGTTGGGCATGACGGCCCCCGGCATGCGCTGCTCTATACACAAGGTGACACGCAAAAGGTGCCTCGAGGTCGGCAAGTGCATCCTCAAGGCTGTGCCGTGGCAAAAGTCGGTAACCTTGTGATACACGGCCCAACGAAAAGCAGACACGTCTTAGAGTCCTAGACTTCCTCAGGTTCCTTCAAGCCAATGCGTGTTCTGTCTCTGTGTTCCAGGCGCAAAACCAGCGCTTGGATCCCATGCCTCACACAACAAGAGTATGATGTGATAGGCCGAACACACACCTGAAAAGACGTGGATAGAAGCAAATCTATTTTCCGCGTCGGACAACTTTTACTTGCAAAGCAATCGATTTGGATGCCTCGCCAGCCAAGCCGCCACTGGCAATCCTGACAGCAAGTGCTCTGCAAAGTAACACTGAAGCCTTCAATCATGACTAGTGGGGCCGCTTTGTACCCAAGTGGCATATGCCTGTATTTCAAGTGGCACTTGCCTCTCACCGCATACTTCAACCCTTAAGAGGCCTTCGTTTGGGCATAGGAACTCGTAATTCCCGCCGGGACAGACGATGACAGTTCCATTGCCTCAAGCCATGACAAAACTACCGGTGCAAAACTCGAGTTCTGGACGAATTGCAATCAACAACAACTCAAGTATCGGCATAAATCAGCATTGCCTGCAAGTGCCTTCTCGCCAAAAGGTGGCTTGAGCAAGCACCTGACACGGACAAGCTTTGGGTTTCTCCAGATTGCCAAGTGGCATTCCATGCCACCACGGGCTCTCCTCTTTCACAATTTTGCAAAATATGCCCTGCTCATGGCGCATCCCACGTCTTCATCGCCCATCCGTCAGAGAGGTACTGCTCATTCGGACAGAAGTCACCACAAAGAATGTATTGAATGCTGCCTCACCTTGCTCGACTTCAGCAAACCTTAATCAAAAACATGACTGCAGTACGGCAGGTTTGGACCTGGGCATTGCAACATTGCCGACGGTGGGTGGGGCTCTCCAGGCAATGCTAGACATGTACCCAGCAGCTGCAGAACATCCTAGTGCTGAAAGACTCGCCTTTGGGGCTGAAACGGATCCCAAAACAGCATAAAACCCAGAGGTTGTGAATGGTTGTGAACACCAGGCGCTGTGAGCTCTAAACCACTCAACTGTCGCGGATATTCGTGTCCAATGTGCTGGCTGTGCAATCCTTGGCCCGAGCCCCATGAGGATCATGAGGTTCTGACCATGAAATAGCGGATCTTCCGATAGCCTGGCAGCAGGGAAGGGAGGACAGGAAAACAAATAGTTCAGCCTCTTGCCGGCCTTGGCAGTCGGGGCATGGCCGCGCAGGCCATGCAACGAGTCCATGAGCACCTCAGATGACTTAACGATGCAAGTGCCTCGGAAGCCAAGAATTTCGTTCTGCCTTTCGGTGACTCTTGAGAAGTACACCCTGATGCAGCTCGTCGGTGGGGGGTGGGGAGAGAAGCAATCACTCTGGTGACTGCTCATTTACACTTCTGCAGGGTCGGCAGTCTTCGCGGACTTGACGCTCGCAACAGTCATCGAGCAAGCATCAGCCAATCGGAAGACGACTGGGGACCTCCTTGTAAGACCGACTGAAACTAAAGGCGAGTGACAAATTCAAAGCAACAAAGAATGGCAGGCGACAACACCAGACTAGAAGCCCAATCGATCCCACGAGTTCATCCTCACCATGTCACCGCAGCCACTTGTGTGCAAGCCGGTTCCCTGCGCTTGATTCTGTATCAAGCTGTGATCCTGTGGGCTGCGATTGCCACCTCGATATACCACCAAGAAATGCTAGGGAGAACATGCTGTACGAACCGTGCAACAGCTCAACTCCAGCCATCGAGTGGAAAACGCAGCGCGTTAAGGAACTGAATTCTTCAGAAGTGCTCCCTTGCTGGCCACTCCAAACGTAGTTGAACGTCCAACTTCAGAGGGAGACCTTCAACGCTTAAATTGCGCAGTGGACGTGCCACTGAGTGGACATCTGGCAGTCTGCTGGGCCACGAATGGGTTCGGGCACGCAGGACTTCGTCTATTTTCGTGTTCATCTGAGCTCTTTGGAGGTCCATGGCTGATAGTAGGTCAGCTGGCAAAAAAGAACTTGCGCAGAAAGTCCACTGATGGATTGGAACGACCTTGCAATCTAAGGCTGCGAAGGCCAAGCGTTCATAAGCAATTTCAAAGCAGTACGTTTCGTTGCCCAAGGAACAGCCCAAGAAAGCAAGCGACAAACAAGCAAGCCCTTGCGGGCGATCCGAACTACGAAGCTGCTCGTGAGAGTTGCGCAATATGCTTTGAGCCACTTTTAAGCCGTGCAAGTTGATACGAGACCAAAGCAAAAGCTGATCAGGTAAAACTCGACATGCCAGTCGACAAGTCCTTCCATCGACCACCCCCCCACATCAGGAGTCATATCTGCAGCATGTTACGCAGATGAACCAATGGGCTCACATATCTCGGCAACGTTCGCAGCAGCAGCTCTGCACCCGCCCTCACTGAATGCCACGGGGCGAATCTGCATGCAGCCTGCATGCAAAACGCAGAGCAACAACGGGCAATACAATTGGCAGCGTGTTAGGTCTAGACGGTTTCGCGCGTACGTCAAGCCCATAACCTATATGTCTTGCAAGAGAAACGAAGTCACCCAGCTTCGCAAGAGCTGATGAAACTTTGAACTCCTGGCCTGTGACTTTGGGCTACGTGCTGACAGCTGCCAGCCGCCTGCAGCACAGGGCACGAGGCTACTTTGCTACAGGTGCTCGTGTAATGAATGGATGCCCTGGCCTCTGGGATAGTTCGTTGGCAGAAGGAGCAGTGGCCTTAAGCAGTACCGTGTGCGTCAGATGCCGGCGCAACCATGGTCCGAAGCTATGTGGCACGTCACGTGGTCATGTGGGAAGGCTGGAAGCCCAGATGCCTGACCCACCTGCGCCACTGCTCCACGCCGCAAGCGCCAGGGCCTGACAAATTTTCGTCGGCCAAGACTTCACGTAATGGAGTCTTGGAACATCTCAACTTGGGCCATTGACGTTCACGTCCGTGGTTTCAGCGAAGCACCCCAAAAGGAGACCAACCAAGAAGACGACCATGTCAAAAGACACATATTATGAGACCACGTCACGACGTGCGCCAAGTTTTTGCATACCACATACTTTTTTCCTATCTTCCCCCTCTCTGGGCCTGCGGGTTAGTGCTACACAGACGGCTAGCAAAGCAGCTGCGCATAGTCCATGCACGACCTCAGCACAACTACTGAAAGAGACAATGTCTCTGGAAAGATGTGCCCCAAACAAGACTCTGCATCTCTCTGCCAAAAAGCTGCAACGATTGCCAGCCAAGCATCTATCCATCTGTACTTCCAAGGCCGGTGTCCAGGTGGCAGCCCAATCCTAAAGCTGCTGTGGGGCACCGAAACGCAGCAAGGCACAAGGTCGCAGCTTCTCCCATTTCAAACTCAAAGAAGCTCAAACTCAAGCTCAAGCTTTCACTTCAAGTGCCTCGGGGGCTGCGAACCGAAGTCGTAGGTGACGGCGAACTTTCCTCGACATCTGAAGGATATGATGGTGTATGGAAATTGTCCCAAACGATGTGCAAACAGACCACTGCGGCACGTGCGCTTTTCTCGAAACCTACTCGCATTTTGGACGAAAATCGTGCGCTCGCCTTGGTGCGAGTGTGGCCACGCTCGCCGCCCTCGAAACTGTCATTGTTTGCTTCTGGCTTCGCGAAGTGCGAAACTGTCATCGCTTTTGGACGTCTGGCCTCTCGAATTGCAGAACTGTGGTCGCCTTTGGACATCTATGTTCGCAAAATACCACACTGGCATTTACATGTTTTGAAGACGGCGCTTACGAAATGCGAAGCAGTCACTTCTGAACGTTTGGGCTGACAAGATCTCTCTGTGTTTGGGGGCTACGATCAGGAAGCTGCAATGCGCAAACTTTGCGCGCGTCTCGCTCGAACGCACCATCAAGTACAAACATCCAAGCCACGGTGGAACACATCGCCGAGGATCCACGTCCTTGCATGAGTCTTGCAGCGGTAGATTGGAACAACACACCCTCCTTCTTGCACTGCAAACTCCTTCTGATATTGACGACATAAATCTCGCCAAGTGTCCTCTCTTTGTCACGGGCCTGGACACAAATTTTGCAGCCTCCAAGCTGCGGGAAGCCATAATCCTCACCTCATGCTCGAATGGTATGAAAGGTTGGTGTCAAGAAAACTTCTGGCACTCTTCTGGCATAATTGGACTTACTGCATCGTGCCATGGAATGCCGTCACGGCTTCCTGCGGGATGCCGCAGCACAATGTTCTTCAAACGGTGCAAAAGGCCAACGAGGCAAAAAGAGGCAATGATGGTTGGGAAGGGGCAAGTCTTGGAAGGATGCAAATCATGTGAATCATGACAGTAAGCATCGCAAACCGATGTAAACCTTACCTTTCTAGAGACATGAAGGCCTTGCTATGTCTTGCCATCTTCACTTCACCCTCCCCTCAGCCTCCACCCCAGCACTTCCAAGACTCACGCAAGGCGAACGTCAGGTCCCATCATTTGTAACCATGTTCTCTACGTTGCTTTGCTGATGACACATCACTATGCAATACCTGCGATACCGACTGGGACGCAAACCCGTCAGCATGTAGTCCTGCCATGTTCCCGGGGGTTGCAGTTCGCAAGAACGCAATGAGTAGTGACTGTCAGAAGGTGACGCGGCATTGTTCACCTCTACAATTGGTAAGGGGGCGGGACGCTTACGCGACCATCAAGGTGCAGCGGCCAACCAAGTCCTGGCCTGACCGCCCAGAGTCAGTGTCAACGTAGGCAGAGCGCTGCATCGCGTATCAGTATACTGCGCCTGAGGAGCGGCTGGAGAAACAAGAACCTTTAACAATGTAACAACCCTCCAGTCCTCGATGCCGAGAAACCTGTGTGTCAAGGCATGACACATCGTGTCACTCGCCACATGCAACCCTACCATTAAGGACAGGCATCTTGGAAACTCCTATTGAGTTGAATACCTGGTATTTCACAGTGGCATCTAGAGCATCTAGAATCTAGAGTTGACTTGGGTGAGGCAGCCTCTGACCAATCGGACTTTCTCGTTTCTTATTTCATTTTCGCTTTCGTTCTTGCTCGTATGCAAGTCTCAAGCGGTTCCAACATCTCCAACCCTTGACCCTACGGGGCTCTCACTTCGCTGCATAGATATGGTAGGCCTGTAATATGCCTCGAGCTGCTGCGTACTCTCAGCCACTTGCGCAAAGTGCGCTTCTTCCGGTCGAAAGTGACCAGCAGATCGGGGGCTGGGACCCTGTTAACCCATCCGCCTCACGCACGGCGTCGTAGAAACGCTGCGCGTCCCGGCCAGGAAGTATCAAGCAGCTGGTTCCAGAGTCGATAAGGCCTCAGAGGCATTCAGAGACACAGGGAGCACTCGGAAAAGCACTCGGAAGCACTCAGAAGCATGGAACACAACACAGGCAACCTCAGTGTAGAATTGCCCAGTTGGATGCATTCTGTGGCCGCAGCCCACCCGACCGGTCAGAGAGCTCCCAGCGAACGAGACTTTGTCAAGGCTTAACGCCCAATAGCCGTACTTGCTGCGGCCTGGCCCGATGCAAAATGGCAGTCGTGAGCCCTGTCAACAAGAAGCATCGCACCACAACATACCACTCACAACGCTACAAGAGGATAGAAGAGCAGGAAGCCGGCAATCCTAATAGGAAATGGGCTTTGGGGACAACAATCAAATTACAACTCGAGATTTAAGCCCTCTAGAACAGTTAGGGAATAGCAAGTTCTCATCCTTTACACCTGAGACCCCCAAACTTCTTCAGTTTATCCCAACCTTAGGCCCTCAAACAGATTCACATCTCCTGCAAAAGGGATTAGGAACCCCAAACCAAGATGTTAACTGGCAAGCCTTGAACCCTGAAAGAAAACGGGGAGTGGTATGTGCGCGGACTTACGACATGCGTTAAACATGGGACTAGTGGAAGGGCTCGACATTGGTTTTACCAGGCAATGCGCCTATTGACTTCAAAAACATAGGGCGGGCAGGGCACGGCGCGAATGTGTGCGGGACTACAGAAGACTACATGGGGCCACCGCAAGCGGGAATACTGTGAGCAGATAGGAGGCTTCAGCTCATGGATCGCGGGTGTACTTACCATATACTCTTCCTGTTGCTGACCACCCATACCACCCCCCCATGGTTCTTTGGAAGTGGTTTCTCCTTCTTGGGGCGCAGGGTGGTAGGGGTAGTATAGGTCCTCAGGGCGACGAATTCAAACCGCAGGAAAGGACTTGCTCCCACTTTGCCCGGAGTCACTCACTG